AAAAAAAAAAAACAAAAAATCTCTTAAGTATATTTTTTCAAAAAGAGGGAACAAACTTCGCTCTCGAAAAAGTTCTTGAGAAACAAATTTTAGTTCTTTTTTCTTTTTGTTTTTTGTTCTTTGTTTTTTACAAAATCTCCGCGCTCCGGTTTGTGTTTCCTTTATCCCGAGGTCTGAAACTGCGAGAGTAACGTATTTTTAACGATAATTGCACAAAGCAAACGACTTTATGTTGGAAAAATTAGAGGGAAAATTAAATTGATGTAATTATCTTAAGCGCGTTGTTCTCCGGGCGCGAGGGATATTTTAACAAATGAGAATAAGCCGAACACAAACATGTTCGTAATGCGCTTTGAAATGTGATCTTCTTCGCGTGCCGAGCTCAAATAAACACTCCCCTCATTTTTCACATATCCCGTTATTGCATTAAAGAGATACAGATATATTAAAACGTTGAAAACGAAAGGAGGTTACATATATATATATATACAGGGTGTCTGAAAAATTTTGACACAGCCGAAGTGTGAAGATACATTGGGTCAATCTTAACAGAAAAGTTTTGTACCATTTTGCAAAATTCGCAATAGGTGTTGAGTGATTAATTAATACATGTGAACCAATAAGCGCGTGGGAAGCAATGGATTCGGTAGGTGTGTATGATTTTCAGTAGTAAAAAAAAATGGCCCTGAAGAGAGCAAGAGTGACACACTTCTTACGTATAGCTGATTTTTACAATTGAAAATCATACACGCCTACAGAATCCAGACGTCGCTTTCCACGCGCTCATTAGATCACACGTGTTACTTAATTACTCAATAACTATTGCGAATTTTGCAAAATGGTGCGTGACTTTTTAATTCAGATTAATCCAATCTACCTTCACACTTTGCGGCTGTGTCAAACTTTTTCAGACACCCTGTATATGTATATATATTTGCCGCGCGCAAATAAAACTCGCACATTAGCGTCATTAGCAATGCTCGAAAAAGTACCAAAGCAATATTCGCGTAAATTTTGTGTGCAAAACTGAAAACGATATATTTTTCCAGAACTGCGGAAACGTTGCGTCATGATATTTCAATGTTTTTAGTTTTTTTTTTTTTTTTTTTTTTTAACTATGGAAGTCACAAAAATATACATTTATGAACATATATCGACAGCACATTTGTTAGCGACAGTGGATAAAGTGCGCTTTTAAGTCGACGTTTGCAGTTCACTGTCCGATTTTCGCAGATGCGTATTTCTGTCCGCCGCGACATTAATATCGATAGCTATCGCGCGCGTGGAGCGCCCGCCATATTGATTGTATCGAATAAACGCTCTCGCGCGGAAATTGGATCCTCCTTTTTTAATCGCAGATGTTTCTCTCGCTCCCAAGAATCGGCGCGGCGTTTAAATTCGTTTAAAGCCTGAGCCTATATATATATATATATTTTGTTTTTTTTTATTTTCCTTTCGCCGAGCACGGACGGCACACACAACACGCGCGAGAAACGGCGATACACAATAAAAATATTTTTAAACCGTGCGAGTGCAAAAGAGAGAAAGAAAGAGAGGGGAAAAAAGACACTCTGTTTGCATGTTGCCGAACATTCGTTATTCTCTCCCGCATCGGCATGCATCAAATAAATATTTTCGCTTTCGGTAAAATATTTTCCGACTTAACCGAGCGAGACTCGATCCGGCGTTAGTCGCGATCGACTTCCATTACAACACCGATGCTGCAAGAGTTTTGTTTTGAAAAAAATACAAAAAACTGTCTCAATTTTGCGTTGAACAATTGTTCGTGCGTGCAATTCGTCCCAAAAAAAAAAAAAAAAAAAAGTGAAATACAAAATGAGAACCGCGCGACGCATAGAAATTTGAGAGGAAACTTTGCGCGGCAACAGTTTCGCGAAAAGATCCGCCGTTATTCGCAACTATAAACATATTTACGCGACAAAATTAATTCACGTTTGGCCAGATTAAGTTTTTTTTTAGCCGTGACACCGTGCGTGTATTCAGTAATCGTTCTTCCGATAATTTCGTATTTATTTTGCGTGAAAAGTGCGTTATTTTCAAACTCGCGTCGCAAATGCGTCGCGATATTTTAGCAAAAAAAATATCGCGCAATTTTTTTTTTCAATATTCAGTCGTGAATTTCCGAATGTGAAAAGAGATACCGCTCGCGGCGAGGAGAAAATTAGCGGTTGATTTAGCGGGGAAACACAATCCGGGCGTGAAATTGTTCCGCGCGAGTCCAACTCACTGCAGTTGTAGGTGGACGGGCAGCATTGTCCTTCCCGCACGATCGGGCTGCAGCCTTGAAGCGGTGGCGCGCACGCAAGCGGAACGCACCGTATGGCGCCCATCGCGCAAAAACAATTGTCGCACGCGGCCTTCCATTCGATGTCGCGAACCATCTCGCCCTCGGCGTAGGTCCGCTCGCCCACACGACAGCCTGGACACAATCGGTCAAAGAAAACTCGTGAGAGGAGTCGTCGTGAGAACGCAAAGGTGGAACTCAATTTTGTGTGTAATTATCCTTTTCCGTCGCTCGCGCGGACATCCAAGCGTTTTTACGTCAAACGTCGAGAAGTGTTTTTTTCTTTTTTATGTGTTGATCTTTCCGCGTGTGGAAAGACAGTGGAAAGAGAAAGTGGATGAACGTCGCCGTGAAAATTGTGATAATCGAGAATGTCGTACATCCAAACGTTTCGAATGATTTTTCATTATTATACATTTCATTATTACACAAAATAAGAAAGTAGAAAAACTGTACACGTGTACACGCGTGTATGTGTGCGTCTCTCTTTATACGACTTCTCGTAAACACAGAGAATATACGCGTATTATTATCCATCTATATATACGCGAGTATATAAACACACACACACGCACGAATAAGCGTGTGTACATGTAATGCTTTATCTCAACGCTAGATGGAAATTGACATAAATCGCATTTTCTCGTGTATAAGAATTGCCCAGTTGAGTATAATACGCGAAGAAGGTAGTATAGGATACGCGTAACAAGCAAAGGTATTTTTTGAAGTGGATGAGGGAATAACTCTCACTCCGCGCAAACTAAAGCAAACATAATTATAACAGAATATATATATACAAGTTTTATGTATATTCAAAAAGATGACCGAACAGAACGTCTGACAAATTTTGACAAAGCCAAGCCTATAATACGAAAATAAGTTCGGTCGATCTGAAGAGTCATTTATGATTTTTGCTAACTTCGCAATATCTATTGAGTTATTAAATGTGAGCCGATGAGCGCACGAGAAGCGATAGTTCGAACTCTGTAGACGTGTGTGATTTGCAGTTGTATCGTCGTAAAACTCAGCTCATCGCAGAAAAGCTGTGTTACACGCCACTCGCTTTGTTGCCTCGCCTCTAGTTACCAGGAGACATTTTGCACCAAGTTATTTTTCTTTACAATCGAAAATCATACAGAGTCTATTGGTTCCCACGCTCATTACGGCTCACATTAATTGATAATTCAATTAATGTTGCAAATTTTGCAAAATGGTACATGAATTTTTAAGTTCAGATTGATTTCTCGTAAACACAGAATATACGCGTATTTTCTATCTATATGTACGCGAGTATATAAACGCGCGCGCGCACACACACACGCACGCATAAGCGTGTGTACATGTATTGTAATGCTTTATCTCAACGCTAGATGGAAATTGACATAAATCGCATTTTCTCGTGTATAAGAGAATTGCCCAGTTGAGTATAATACGCGAAGAACGTAGAAACATTGTACTAATTGTTTTTTTATTTATTTTAAGATATATAGGATACGTGTAACAAGCGTAGAGCAAAGGTATTTTTTTAAGTGGATGAGGGAATAACTCTCGCTCCGCGCAAACTAAAGCAAACATAATTATAACAGAGAATATACATATACAAATTTTACGTAATTATTACATTCAAAAAGTTGACTGAACAGAATGTCTGACAAATTTTGACAAAGCCAATAATATCAAAATAAGTTCGGTCGATCTGAAAAGTCATTTATGATTTTTGCAAACTTCGCAAATATCTATTGAGTTGTTGTTAATGTGAGCCAATGAGCGCGTGGCGATAGTTCAAACTCTGTGTGAGTTGTATCGCGTCGTCAAAACTCAACTCATCGCAAGAAGCTTTGCCACACGCCGCTCGCTTTGTTTGCTTCGCCTCTAGTTGCTAGAACATTGCGTGAAGTTATTTTTCTTTACAATTGAAAATCATACGCCTCTAGAGTCCGTTGCTTCTCACATTAATTATATAATAATTCAATAACTATTGCAAATTTTGCAAATTAGTAAATGATGTTTTGGTTCAGACTGACTCGATCTATCTTCGTACTTCGGTTGTGTCAAAATTGCCCAGATACTCTGTACAAATGTACAAACTTGTCGGACATGTAAATGGACGCGAGAGTAGAATTTCTATCTTAATTTCAAGTTTTGTCTCAAGTTTAAACTCCGCAGCTCGAAGCTCGTATTTCCTATTTTTCTCGGAGAATTCTATGTGTCTAGTTTCTCTTTTGACGTCGTATCAGTGACGTAATAGCGTCTCCGTCTGGCGACCTCGAGGATGTTTGTCCGTCCAGCGGAATTAACGAGCGGCGTTATTTACCGACTTTCATGGTCGGTCATCGCGACCGACTACCTGACGGGGGGAGGAGGGGGTGACTTCCGGCTGCGGCGCTCGTTTAAAATTAAGCCATCCCCGAATGTCTCGGCGACCAGTGACAGCCGTGGCTCCGGTCGTCGCACAGCGGCGACCGAGAGAGCTTTAAGCCTGGCTTAAATTTAAGCGACTGCGATGAAACCGGGCGTTTAAATGAACGACTACCCAAAGTGTCGGGCCCCGTTGACTCTTCTTTATCGCGTTACACGTTACTTCTATGACTATGTCGGGTCTCTCGTAACGAGGGAATCCGCGGCGATGTTCGCTCCGACAAACGGTGATTAGAATCTGGCGGAGTCGCAAATTTCGGTTCTATCAAATATCGATAGAAATAACAATGGTACAATATTATATAAATTAAATTAATAATAATAATAATAACAACACTTTTTGAACATCAATAACATAGACAAAGTATTAAAAAAACAATATGTTAAATATAAAAAATATATATAAAAAAACAATAACGATAATTCAAAAGGCGAGGCAATTATCAGATTAATTGGATTCTATTGAAGTGAAGTTTAACAAATTGAATTTTTAATTAAATAAATTGAGTTTTTAATTACTTTTAAGTATTTTACAAAATTAAATTGTCAAAAACTTAACTTTGAAAATTTAAATATTTTATTTTTCCGGTTTTACGTATTATGTCATTGTTGAGGATTACGCTTGAGATAAAAGATCTGAAATTCGCGAGAATTCGCGAAAGTGCTTATAATCTCGAACTATATCGATTAAAGCACGAAAAAATGATGGAAACCGTCATTTCAAGTTCGTCGTCACCGGGCGCGCGCGCGCGCGCGTCGCCTCGGCACATCGTTACAATATTTTCCCGAAAAGTCGCAGTTTAAACCACCGCGATGAGACCTCCCGGTATTAAATGAACCCTCGTCGGCTATCCGTAGCGCGAGCAAGTGTCGCAGGGTGATATAACGTCAGCAGTAACTCTTCGTTATTAAGTTACACATTTCATCACAACTTTCGAGAGCGCGGAAGAGAGAGCTTTAGTCGCGTGGGACGGTAAATTTCGAAATAATCCCTAATAGCCCGATTTTCTTCAAGTTTTCTACTCCCGCGGGCGAACTTTCGCGCGTTACCCGTCCCCGCGCACACAATGCGCCGCGATGTGAGTCAAAGTAAAACAATCCCCATTTGTTCGTTCGCGCGGTAATGTCTCTCATTAGCGTTTCTGTTTATAATAAATGGAGATTCTGTTTATTATCGCTCGTTCCTTCCGACAATATATGGGGCAAAGTCAAGCTTCTGCGTAAATGTTGACAATCCCGAAATTAAATTTGTTTTGTTTCTCCTCCGCGGCTCTCGCGTGCGCACGTTAATTAATCATCGAGAGAAATGTGACGCGTAAAATCTCCGTGTCGTCCTCTCTCGAGTTTTTCGACGGAACATTGAACCTCGCGGTCAGCGTTCATCCACTTTTCTCAAAAGAATTCAATTGAGAAGAATTATCTCGCGCGCGCAAACAGATTGAACTTACCATTTCCCGATACCGGCGCCATTGTGGACGGATGGGAGTCTTGAAAGGAAATAAAATAGAAACCAGTCGGTAAGACACTCAACAAGATAACTCACGACGCGTCGAGCGAAGACAAATATACACTCACGAGTGCAGTTGTAAGCGACCGGGCAGCAGGAATGGGGCGCGTACAGCGGGGTGCAGCCCGGAAGTGGCAGCAGACACTTCGGCCGGATGCATCTCCTCGTCCCGGAAATGCAGTAGCAGTACTCGCATCGACGCGAGCCTATCATCGCCGATCCCGAACCATATCGAACGCCATCGTGCAGACAACCTACAATACACAATATTTGTTTCGTTTATTTTATTCTAAAACTTGCGATACAGTGAGTACATTTTTTTTTTTTTTTATCTAAAAACAAAAGGCTTTAAGATTATTATACAACATGTTTATTTCTTTATTTACTTTATTTTATTTATTTTCTTAAATATATTACACGTTTATTTATTTCGTTTTTTTTAATATTTGTTTTATGTTTATTTTTTCGTTTTAATCATTTTTTAATCTGTTTCTTCGGCTGTGTTTTCTTGGCGCTCTAGTTTGTTTCGCATTGCATCCTGACGTAAAATGTAATGCGGCTGCTTTTGCATTTAGATAACATTTTATTAACGTAACGTCGGTTATCTGTTCGCCTTTAAAAGAATAAAGAGAAGATCTATATACAACGGTTAATCTTTAATTGCAATCGAGCGCAGAATGGAGTTTTTGGAATTCAGGTTAAATTGCTCTCGTTAAGATCGTTCCCATCCGTGAGATAGTGCGCGGGCTCCGTCGAAGTTCGGGCGAAGTTCTTCCCCGCTCCGGTGATTTATTCACCGATGCTTTGAAGAAGAAAAAACAGTTTTATTTATTTACAGTAAAGAGGCAGTTGTGTTTCTCAAGAAAAGAGAAACCGTAGCCTCGAGAGAAATTGCGATTGCGATTCAACGAATGCAATTTTAAATTTGACATTTTAATAAAGAGAAAAGTTTACTGCGGATTTAATATATATATATATGTATAATTCAGCTTAGAGAATTTTATATATAAACGGATTTTGCGAAATTCCCATAAAGTCTCGAATAAAAGGGAATTTTTAATCGGCTCGTCCGCGCGCGCGCGCGGCGACGACGAAGACGGGAACAAAAATACAGTGTGAAAATATTAATAGAGCGAAGCCTAAAACATAGAAATGTGACGAGCGATCATTCGAGGCAACAAGAATCGCAAATGTGAACAACGTGTACAAAAATTTGTTCCATTGTTGCAAATGAAAAACAGTTACGATGAAATGTTGCCGCAGTTGAGATGAAAGAAGAATGTAACCTGTCGTAAACCCGCGCGGGAAGGCAAAGAAATCCTTGCATTAATTTGAAATTACGTTCGTTTCAGCAGTAACGAGCCATCTTAACCCCTTCTGTGTTATGCTCGAGTTTAGCTGAGTGTTCTCCTACCCTCCTCAATTTATTTACCCAAGTTTACTCGGACGTAACGAGGCTCATTTATTTACCGCAGAGAGTAACCCAGACCGCTCTTTTCAGAGACGCGAAACTTAAAATAGAAATTATTAAAAATAATAGCGCAGAGGTTGCTAATTTAGATCCCGGACGTCTGCAGTCAGCGCGATGTATATAATGCAGTCTCGCTGAGAAAGAGAGAGAGAGAGAGAGAGAGAGAGAGAGAGAGAGAGAGAGAGAGAGAGAGANAGAGAGAGAGAGAGAGAGAGAGAGAGAGAGAGAAAGAGAGAGAGAGAAAGAGAGAGAGAGAGAGAGAGAAAAAGAGACGGGGAAAGAAAATCAATTTTTATACTTAAAGAAACTAAAACAAACTAGAACATAAAATTAAAGAAAAAATTACAAATCACGCCCGGCGTCGAAATAAAGTTAAAGAAAAAACCCACTTTTGTTGCGGAACGATAAATCCATTTTGCGGCATATAATTTGAAAGATTATTTGCGCAGCGGTATCTTGAAGCCGGGAAAGATAAATAACAAAGTGCAAAATCAACAAAGTAGAAATACCTTCCGTACGTGAGCTGTGAGCGTGCTTCTCATCCTCGGCTTCTGCGTTCGTTTGTACACTGGCTCTCCGCAACATATTCTCGACGTCGCCTGTAAGTCAGATAATAAATTTAAGCTCTAGCCAACGATTAACTCTCTCTAATCTGCTTTGCCGCGAAGCCGAAACTTTTATGCGTTTTAACGAAACGGAAACTTTTTATAAAAGAAACGCACGTTTTGTTTGTATATATGTATATATGAACGCTTTCTCTCTCCTTGTGACTTGCAAACAAAAAATCATTTGATTTACTCAAATTCACGAAAATTCGCACGGAAACCGCTCTGTTGCAATTTTAATCACATGTAAAACTAATTTTTAACATTTCACGCGATATGAAAGATATATTTTACCATTTTTTAAATTATATTATACAACATGTATATATATTTTTTTATATCACGTGCACATTAAAACTTGTTACAATTATTACATATTACACTTTTATACGCTACAGATTTTATTAAGTTTTTTTTTCTTATTTGAAATCTATATTTTCTTTATTGTTATTTAAATATTTTCTTCAGAATTTTGTGAATTTCGAGCTGTCCAATTAATTGTGTGTGTGTTAATGAATTTATCTCTATCTCAACAGAAGAAAGAGAGAGAGAGAGAGAGAGGTATCGTAATTGATCAAAGATGTAATCGTCGTACTAACGTGGATCGCCGCAGACCAGCTCGGCGCAGCATATGTTCTCGGCCGGCGGACGTACGTGACAGCCCGGCGGTGGTGGATTCGGCAGTCGCGGGCACACTCGGAGCCGGCATCTCAGCGCGCCCTCGGTACACCGGCACCGCAGGCAGGGTTCGGACGTACTCACGGCCGTTCCCTCCTGATATCGGCGGTTCTCGTATCTGCAGCCTGCAATCGCGAGAGAGTGAATATCTCGTTACGTAACAAAACTTTAATTATAGTGCCCGGCGAGTCCGGGCTATCGAAACTCGCGTAAGTATGCCTGTACACAGCAAGCCGCCGCCGCCGCCGCCGCCGCCGTCGTCTCTTCGCTCGGAGAATTTCCGACTGAATATACACCCCGTTCGAGAGGCTGTCTCTCTCTCTCTCTCGACACGCGGAAATTACATTCGCATGTATATTCCCGTGCGAGCGAGTTATAAATTTTCCGCACACGGGAACGGCCGCGCGCTTTGTTTACGATAAATTCCCCGAGTCTTCGGTTCTCTCCGCGGATAGAGAACGGCCGCGCGAAAGCGATCGGAATTATCCGCTCCGGCAAAACGCGTCGGCAAAGTTTAATTGAGTTAATAATGAAGTTGGAATACACACGGATTTGCATGTTCGATGCGAAGCCCCGGACGAAAAACCCGGGGTGGCGATTTTGCCGGCCCCGGGGGTTTCGAGAGACGCGCGTAACAAGCCGGTTCGGACTTTTTGCGCGACGGTCTTCTCTGAGCGCGCGCGGTCAGGTCTTGTCCTTTAATGCATTACATTAACCCCGGGGAATGAGCGATGCGAGAAGCACGAACACTATACATATGTGTGTGTGTATGTGTCTCGTCTATTAACATAGACAACAGCCGCGCTGCAGCAAGAGAGCGCGCGCTGCAGTTTCGATTAATAAGATCCAATTAGCAGCTAATTAACGCCCGCGGAACTTTGCCGAGCGATGCGAACGCAGTCGTCGAAAGTTACATCGGCGACGGGTAAAACAATTACCGGGGGACCATAATCGCATAGAGCCGAAGACGCGCGCGTTTAACTTTTCGGCAACGCGCGAAAGAGAGAGAGAGAGACAGAGAGAGAGAGAGAGAGAGAACGAGCAACGCGACGCGCGTTCCCGGAAGGGAACGATCAGTTGGGAAAATTGAGAAGTTAATCTCAACGTGTTAGAGAGAGCGACTTCAATCATCTTGTCGCTCGGAAGTGTCGAAAGTATGCGGATGCTTTTTAACTCTATCTCGAGTCGCGCAGTTGACACTTTTCGATTATTTTTCTGAAACTGAAACTGAAACTCGATCTCGCGAATTTCTCGCGAAAGGGCTCGATTTACTTGTTGATTAGCGCGCGTTTCGCGGAGAAATTGGAAAATATACAAAGTTTTAATTCAGCAGCATATTAAAACTTAAGCGTCTCGACGAGATTCTTTGCAATTAACGCACAAATTAATTTTTTGATGATGAAAGTGCGCCGTAATAAAGAACCTCGCGCGCGTTTCAAATGTTTCATTTATTTTTATCGACTTTTTTTCCGCCGAATTCGGAGATGAAGTGGATGCGCGGCGGTATTTTAAGCCGCGCGATGAATAAGAGAAGCGACAATTTCGGTTCGCGACAATTCGGTCCGGTTTGGAGCGGAACGCGTGGAAAATGTCGAAAAGCTGCCACTTCAATTCCAAGCGCGCGCGCGCACGCTCCAAAACGTCGACAAAAAAAATCGCTACAACGTGAAACGTGAACTTAACGGAAATATTTGCACGCTCGGGACCTCTTTCGAAAATGGAATTTTCAATATAAATTCCACGTGCGCGCCTCGCAACGAAAGCTCCGAGAGTCATCGGTCAGGATTTGACGCTGATTTCGTGCCGCGATGTAAAATAAAAAAAAATAAAAAATAACAACAAAAAGTGGCATTTAATCCACCGAAGAGTTTCCGAGGGAAGTTTCTGTGTGCAATTTGATTATTAGAGGCCGATCACACGTTTTGAAAAACATGACGGCGATTCCGCTACATTTGTAACGACGCGCATATTGATAGACAAAATGTATGTAGTTTTAAAACTTTACTTCCGAGCGCTCATCTTCAGGCTCGCTCGCTGTCCTTGGTATCTTGTTTCCCGGGATTATAAACAGACGCCAATTATTAGCGCAACTGCACGTCAGTCCGGTATCACATAATCGCCGCGCGTTATTCTCGATGCATTTCACGGAAATGTCAAATTATTGTAGGCTCGATTTCCTCAAAAGGCCAATTATTCAACACGCGACCCGTCAATTGCCGCCTTTTGCTCACAAATCGATGGCCAATTGCAACGCGAGGAATATTATTGAGAGAGAGAGAGAGAGAGAGAGAGACATGAAAAAAAGACTGTAGATATTTTTCCTCAATATATAAAATTATCCCGACTGACAATGGTATTTTAAATCAAGGATTGTTCAGACGTTGGTCGGCGCGAAATAACACACAGCTGTAATTTTTGTATTACACTAATTCAAGTTTTTTGTACAATCTGAAATTCTCCGGCATTTGGTCCTCCCCGGAAACGCTTTTACCCGCGCTGTACAATTTTTCTCTCGTGTTCAAAATTCAAAGAACCACGTACGTAATGACGTTTTGCCGCGATCTCGAAGTCGGTTTGCATCGCTAACGCGCTTAAGTGCCTTAATCCACGAGTGCTATTATATTCCGTCGTTTGACCGACGCGCATCACGAATACGAGCCAAAGACGACAAGAACGTGCCTAATAACCAGCTCCATTCTCTGTCTCTTTCTCTCGCTCACGAGACCCGGCGCCTTTAGCTCCCCGTTGTATTCTCGGGAAGAGAGCGGTGGTGGTGTAACGCCGATGGACGCAGCAACGGGCTAGAATGTGTCCGGAACCGTCATTAGTTCCCAGGAACGTGAGTACGGCACTGCCGACGGACTGCCGGGTAGCAAAGGACACTCCAGGGTCTGGAGAAGCAAGCCAGGGCGAGAAACAAGCCAAGTTAGTTAATGGCGCAAAACCGGAAGTCCTCGACCGGAGAAGCGGAGGAAAACCGACACACACACTCTCTCTCTCTCTCTCTCTCTCTCTCTCTCTCTCTCTCTCTTTCTATTCTCCGTCTCTCTTTTTCTTTCACTTCGTGCCCAGGAGGATTTTAATCCCGCTACGTTGGACAAGGAGCGCGAAGATTTTGTTACGAACACTTCTGAGCGTACGTGAGCGTTTCGTCCGGAGAAACGCTCGTCGTCGTCGTCGTCTCTACGTCCGCAACGACCGTAAGCCGTCCTCGGATGCGCGCGTGAGTTTCTGCAGATTTAATTAGCGCGACGCGTATATGTATCGCGACGTCCGTTGAAATGCAGGGTGACGCGGACGTACATTAGCGCCGTTGTTATCCTATTTCTTGCTAATGGAAAATTTTCAGATCCTCCAGAGAGAAGGCGAGAGAGGAAGAGAGAAAGAAAGAAACGAGCGACGAGAAGAAACGTCATCATTACAACTTTTGACCGTTAAATTGTTTATTCGCTCTAAAAATTCGATTCTGCTCATAAAAGTGACTCGTCAATCCCCCGTTCGTGTGTCTCTCGAACTGTTGTTATGACTGGAAGTAGAATCGAGATAGAGAGATTTCAATGCCGGAGTTCCCGATGAGCGAACAGTGTTATCATTTTTTTCTCCTCTTGTGATATTTTTTTAAAAAGCTCAAAGCCACACGGAGATGTGTGGGTGCGCAATGTAATCGCTTGTACACAAGTTGCGTAAATATTTTCTAAACATGCGATTTTCTGGTTTAACGTTGAAGCGAATACTTCTTTTTATTTATTTATTTATTTATTTTTTTTTTTTTCATTATCGTTTTTCGCCGGTTTTCGAGAGAGAAACTTTGCAGTTTCGCACGCGGCGTGAACATACATACATAATGTATATACATATTATGTATGTACACACACACCTGCGACGCGCAACGCTCTCGTCTCGATTTCTCGCGAGAGAGAAATCTCGTGAGAGTCACTGCATCACTGCCGCGGCTGGCACTCACTGCCAAGTGCAACGGTGCACGTGCAATGCAATGAAGCGCTGCCGCCGCCAAGCCGGTATGAATGGAGCGAACTCTGGCCTTACCTCCCCGATCGTGTGAGAGCCCTCCTCGTCCCCCGCTTCGCTTCGGTCCCCCGCTCGCCTCCCCACGGCACGGAATAACATAACCCGTAACGTAACCATTACACGCACGCACGCACGCACGCACGCACGCACTCTCGGGTCCGGTGAACGGCGCGAACCGTCCACGAAACGTGGGCGAGGGAATCGGCGATCGTCGCCGAGGCTGCTGGTACAGTCGTGCCGCGCGGTCAACTTTTGTTTCAGCCGGAAGGTCAACGTCTACACAGATG